TCGATGCAATTCGGAACCCAAGGCGTGGCAAACGATTCGTGGGACCTGGGTCAGGAGCTCTACTGAGCTGGTCCTGGCTCGAGGGAATGCCATTTGTACCTGTTGATGGTCCCGGAATTCGGCCTATGCACTGCAGTGCTTGACAATTTGTCTGGCAAATGGCATGCTCGCCAATGTTTACACCACAGTGCGAACCCACACAGCCTAGTTGGCTTTACGTCAGACCTCTATGATTGCAATCTGTACATGAGCGTGTTACTAGCTCCAATACAAGAGCTAACAATATCTATCTAAACTACAAGCGTTGTGGATAAGCCCTGTACCCATGTACACGTAGCTGGAGTCGTCGCATTCCTGACTGACGACCCAGCCTGCAATTCGATTTCGCTGTTCGCAAAGTCACTGGGACCAAAATGTACTGAATGAAGTTTCGATAAAACTTACTTAAATAAGTTAGTCCACTCTAACGAACATTTTGTGTAACCCACACAAAATAAAGCAAGGTTCATATCAACTGTAGGGATCAACTGAGTGCAATCCTTCTGTCAACACCCGACGACATTGCCATTCACCCAATCTACGCGGAGCGGCTCTAGCCTTGCTCGCCGCTTTAATACATTTGATGTGTAGCTGTTTACATCTTGGAAGGGTTACGGAAGTGCTTGCCGGCGTACTTGGCGTCGCTGCCGAGGGCCTCTTCAATACGCAGCAGCTGGTTGTACTTGGCCAGACGCTCCGAGCGGCACGGGGCTCCAGTCTTGATCTGACCAGTGGCCAGACCCACCGCCAGATCGGCGATGTACGAGTCCTCGGTCTCACCACTGCGGTGCGACGTCATAACGCCCCAGCCGTTCTTCTGGGCGAGGGCGACGGCGTCCACGCTCTCGGTCACGCTGCCGATCTGGTTCACCTTGAGCAGCAGGGCGTTGCAGGCCTTCTTGTCCAAAGCCGTGGCGATACGCTTGGGGTTCGTGCACAGCAGGTCGTCGCCCACAATCTGCACCTTGTCACCGATACCAGCGGTGAAGGACGAGTAGTGTGTCCAGTCATCCTGGTCGAACGGGTCCTCAATGCTGATAATCGGGAACTCCTTGGCCAGATCCTTGTACAGTTGGCCCAGCTCCTCGCCGGTCAAAAGGTCCGACGAGTTCTCAGACTTGAAGTCCAGGTCGTACTTGCCGTCCTTGGTCAGGAACTCCGACGAGGCAACGTCCATGCCGATGCCGATCTTGCCGTCGTAGCCAGCCTTGCTAATAGCAGTCATCAGCAGCTCAACACCTTCGCGGTTGCTCTGAATGTTGGGGGCGAATCCACCTTCGTCGCCGACGTTAGTGGCATCCTGGCCGTATTTCTTCTTGATGACGCTCTTGAGCTGGTGGTACACCTCGCAGCCCATGACCATGGCCTCCGAGAAGCTCTCAGCGCCCGTAGGCAGCAGCATGAACTCCTGGAAAGCCAATTTGTTGCCAGCGTGCGAGCCGCCGTTGATCACGTTGAAGCTGGGCACGGGAAGGACCAGGTTCTTGTTGCCGATGAGGTCAGCGAAGTGCTGGTAGAGCGGGACGCCCTTGGCCGTGGCACCAGCCTTGGCCACAGCGAGCGACACGCCCAGGATGGCGTTGGCGCCCAGCTTGCCCTTGTTTTCCGTGCCGTCGATCTCGCGCATGAGGTTGTCGATGTCGCGCTGCTTGGTCGGGTCGGCGCCGATGAGCTTGGGGGCCAGCACGCTCTTGACGTTCTGCACGGCCTGCTGCACACCCTTGCCAGCGTAGCGCTTGCCGCCATCGCGCAGCTCCACGGCCTCGTGGATGCCCGTGGAGGCGCCCGAAGGAACCGAAGCGCGGAAGATCTCGGTGCTGCCGGACAGCGTCAGATCCACCTCAACCGTGGGATTGCCGCGGCTGTCGATGATCTCACGCGCGTGGATGGATTGAATCGTACTGGCGTTGCGGACAGCGCCGGTGGCGGTCGTGGCCGCGCGACGCAGAGCGGACGTACGAGCGAGCATTACGAGAAGAAGAAGGGGCTGCTGTGTGGAGCTTGGAGCAAATAGCAGAGTGAAACGGCTCGGAGCTGGTGGACGGAGTTGAGCTCCTCCAAGCAGAAGATTTGCGCACTCACCCGACGGCACAACGCATATAATGCGAAGGTGCAGAGGTCGTTGAGTATTTGCTATCAAAATCAAGTTTAGTAAATTTATAGATTTGATATTGAAATCATTGAAGCAAACAAGAATCAATGTAAGGAGGATTTATAAGGAGAATCATCAGCTATTAAGGGTAGCAGTGACAGAGATTCGTGATCTATGTACCGGTGATGTGGTATGGCAGTGAGTTTTTCAACCAATTAAAAGAAAATACGGTAAATTGTTGACCTATCAATGGCCGATAAACGGATCTTGAAGCACGAAACCCAAGCACCAAAGTTGCTTGCTCATTCATCAGCGCGCCTGTAGGATTTGAAGTGGTTCCAGAGATTGGAGTCCAGAACAAGCAGCCCAGGTATGATCACCAACAGATTCCGCGCGTCATTGTATCGAAGTGTCGAGGATTCGCACCGACCAAGACACGATGAGAAGTCCACGTTCGGTCATTATTAATGTCACTGGTGTTTTGGTGTAGCTCGATGAGATGAAGACATACATGTACAACAAAGAATGGTCGTTTTGCAAGTCCGGTGTTGATGATGCACGCACAGCTTGGTGGCGGCTAAAAGTGAGCAAAGGGCTGATGGAGGCAAGAGAATATCTGATACCGACGTTTAGTGCGGATATTCAGAAGCAAAACAAAGTGGGGAAGTGGCAGGACAATAAAATACTGCTCGCACATTCTAATCGTCCAAAATAAATAATTCCACACAAAATATCGATTTTCTGTTTTGACCACTTATTTATCGGAATCCCTGTTTAGAGGAGATATGATAGTTAAACGATGTAGATACGCTTCATTTGAAGCGATTGTAAAATGACAGAAAGAATCTAATTTTTTGTCCTGGGAATTTCTGTAATATGTGTCAGAATTTGTTGAATGCCCAGATGCTGCGGCTGCGAAGCAGGCGTTGACAACGGATGTTGCCTTAACTCTTGAATAGGGGTTCACTTTGCTATACCTCGGAGCTTATTTAAAAGATA